CTCTTTCCCCAGCTCAGCAATCAGCAGCGCTGACACTGCTCCATGGCCAGGCAAGGGCTGAGCTCCTACATGCTGTGCTCCAGGATGGAGCAGCCCAAGCAGTACATGACAGTGAGAGTTGGGGGAGGAGAAGAGGCAGAGATTAGGGAGTTGGGGAGGAAGGGGAAGAGCTATGGGGAGCCAGGGGGAAAGGGTACACATGGAAGGGGGGCAGGAAGTCTTCAAGGAGAAGAAATGGGTGGGGTAGGGGGAAGAGGGGCACCTGACCCTCCTCCAGCCACTGCTTTCCCTGCTGTAGCAGTAAGGAGGAGTAATATTCAAGGACAACCCTCCAATACTGAGATTTTACACCTGGAAAACTATAAACATCTTTATAAATTTTCCATATATAGAATCTAATTATTGGTGAGGGGGTCATGTTATATTTGAGTAAGTGTGGTATCTAAAAAAGGCAAAAAGAAAGAAATTTGAATCAGACTTTCCTTCGAGGAGTATTAAAGTTATGAATACTTTACCTTTGGTATTATACATGAAAATGATATTTAACAACTAATAAAACAAATGTAATTTTTTTACATCAGTCAATTCCCAATTAAAAAAAAAAGCTTTTATCCAGGGATAATCAGTAATCTTTGGGGAAAATTCCATTTGATTTACAAATTTTTAGGTGGTTTTAGCCACAAAATGTACAGAAAACCCATTATTTGGCCCTAGTTTCTGTTTAATGCCCAACACAAGACACAATTTGTTTCAAAAGCATTCTTTATATAGAAAACACACAGCATGTTATCAGCACATAGTAGTCTTCATTTTAAAAAACCTGTTTACATTTTGTTTAAAAATAAATAGCATAGCAGTGTCAGATGCATTGTGTCATTCGCAGGATATTTCAAGCTGTGCTTTTCATACAATTGTTACGCTTAAGCAGCAGCTACTATCTGACCTTTTCAAGGGTAACAGCAGAAACATAATGAAGGAAAACATCTGAGAACTGTAAAAAAAAACAACACAAAAAAAAGTGTTTTTCTACTTCTGCACTTGTGAGGAAAGCCACAAATTATTTTGTAGGTACAGCAGATGAGTTTGTTAGCTTGTGCTTAAAAGCTTTATGCAAACAACTCTCTGACAATGTTTTCAACACACATATACAATATCTCTTCAACTATCCAAGATTAATTATTATCCAAACAAGGGTCATGCTCCTGACTTGTATTAGTTACTTGTAAATTCCCTTGGATTACCTGAAACCTCAATTAGCTGAACCTAGTCAATGTTCCCCTTTCAAAAAAAACAGAGGACATACTGTACAGTAGGGCTGTGCGAAATTTCACCGGGTATTTGGTTTCGAAGCTGTTTTGATGCGTTGCAAACTCGAAAAAGCAAAATTGAAAGGAAACAGAAGGCTTCAAAACAGGTTCGAAATCAAACGAGGGCACTCAAAACATTTCAAAACTTTTGAAAGGTTTCAAGTTTCAAAGCCAGGCTTACTTAGCTTCAGTACTGGTCCCAGGCAGCAGCGGCAGCCTCCTCTCATCCAGCACACAGATCTGGGGGCTTGCACCCCCAGGATTCTGGCACAGCCCAGCAGCCCTCCAAGGGGTGGGAGCCCCCAGTTCTGTGCTCTGGATGAGAGGAGGCTACCGCAGCAGCAATTTTCTCCAGCACTGGTCCCAGCCTGTGCCCAGCACTGGTCCCAGGTGGAAGAGACAGCCTCCTCTCATCCAGTGTGCAGATACAGGGGCTTCCACCCCTGCGAGGGCTGCGCCAGACTCCTCCTGGTGGTGTGAGCCTCCGGATCCGGGAGCTGGATGAAAGGGGGCTGCGCGGCAGCAGCAGTCTTCTCTGATGCCGGGCGTGGGCTGTGCCCAGCGCTGGTCCCAGGCAACAGTGGCAGCCTCCTCCCATCCAGTGCGCAGATACGGAGGCTTCCACCCCTGGGAGGGCTGCAGGTCTGCTGTTGGCAAGTGTCAGGAGTTGTGTTTTGAAGAGTTTGAGGTGCAGTTTCCCAGAAACCTCTACACCTGTCTCCTTGAAACTTGGCAGGCTTCATGTTGTCAGAAAGGGCCACCATTCCTACAATTTTCATCCAAGTCAGGCAAGAGATGTCCAAGTGTTAAGTGTTTTCATGATTCCCCATTATAGCCTATGGGTAAAACGTTGAAAAGCATCAAAACAGCAAAACAGTTTCGACTAAACAAAACAGGACAGTGCTTTGAAACAAAACAAAATGATTAAATGAAACACTGTCCCTTCCAAATCGCAAAACGGACATCCAAATGAAACGATGGTGTTTTGCACAGCCCTACATACAGCAGTATTAATTTTATGTAGCTGATCTCTGTAACTCCAGAGTAACATGCAAGCATCATACTTATCAAACAGATATACACCCTTTGGTCTGAAAGCTTGCATCAAGAAAGGCATAGATCTTATAGTGTTTCTGCTCATTTGCGTTAGCGGAGGGAATGGCAGAACCCTGATGAGGTATGGTTGCAAGTGAGGTAAAACATGCCTAACTGGAGAACTGCTGACCAGGTACAGAGACACCTTCAACAAATACATGACTAACTATAGCGGGCCCCAATTTCTGCTGCAGCCTGCTATACTAGGTTCAACTTCCTGTTGAGGTCTATTGGGCCCTTTGGTCTCTCTGTCATTCACCTCCCTTACTTCTGTCTGCCATGGGTTGTCATAATTACAACTTTGGGAGGCTGTCCTAAGATCATCAGAAAGAATCACCTTTTGTTCTTCATACAGCTGCATCTTCTTGGTGCTCAGTGTCTGGTGCTAGTGATCATGCCAACAGCTGCCTTCTCTAGCAAAAGTCCTGTCCTGAGGCCTGTTTAGGTCCAAAATAGCCTTGGCTCTCTCCTGGCCTGTAGGCTGGTTCCAGGGAGTAGGCCAATGTATAATAATGATATTTCACAGGCCTGGGCACTCACCTGATCTGGCTGTCTTGTAAAAACCTTCCCACTCAGTCTACTTAATACATCCCAACACCTCCAATGGTTCAAGTCCTGGGGCTTGGTAGCCCATCTGCACAAAAGTCCCACGGCTGGTACAAACCACCTTGCTCAAAGCCCAAGGCCCTGTTAGCACGCAGAGGTTCGGAACCATAAAAATCTGCTCCCCACATACACAGGGCTGTGAGCCCTCAAAATCTGTGGATTGTGCACAAAATGCATTGTGCATGCCAAATGCTCATATTACAAGCTGTGAGGATGAGTGCTACCTCTATATTCAAGAAAAATCTAACACTATATCACAAAACCTTAGTTTCAGTTATTTTATGGTAATCAATGTGCAACACCACCCTGAAAAAATAAGCACAATATAGACATTTCTTTTAAAAGTCAAATTAGTTGATCAAATCATGATTTCAGTGTCAGCTCTGCCACTTCAGATACTGAAGAAAAACTAAACAGGACACATATATACACAAAACTGAGAAAGGTGACAACTAACCTGTAGCAACTCAAGAACTTTAATTGAACGTTAGTGAAGTTTCTTCATGGAATGAAATATTTCTTTTTCTGATCATTGCTCCTAAATCACTTGCCTGGACTGGATTGATCTTTACTCCTCCAAATCAGCTGTACTCCACAATTCCAGAAATACAACAAAATTACCCAGCTTTTTAAAGTAGGTGTTAGTTCAGGCTAGATATTTGGAGGCACTACTTCACTGTCAAGGCGGCTAGGAGCTGGAACCAACTTCCAAGGGAAGTGGTGCTTGCCCCTACCCTGGGGGTCTTCAAAAGGAGGCTAGACAGCCACCTAGCTGGGGTCATTTGACCCCAGAATCCTTTCCTGCCCACGGCAGAGGGTCGGACTAGATGATCTGCTTAGGTCCCTTCCGACCCTACCAACTATGAAACTATAGCTTTGATCTACTACATTCACCGGAGTTCCTCAATCCATCACATTTTTGCTTGAGCAATTAACTCAGATGCTTCCTTTGCAGCACTAATTTTAACACAGCTTTACAATAGTACCATTAGTTCTTTGGACTTTTAAAAGGAAGCCTGTCACAACAGTGAGGTATTGTGCTAAGCAGGAAGTGAATGGCTTTAATCCAGGAGCACAGAGAAGAGTGAATGGCATAAACTAAAGTCTCTAGTGTGAGGCTTTTGAGTGTCTTAACTCCCAACTAGAAAAATGGATTTCTGAAAAATATTTTTTTTAAACCAGGGAAACCACTGGCTTTGAAATGCTTTGTGCAAAGACATGCTGCAAACAGTTGCTACCAGACATAAACAGCAACAGATATTTATCCAACTTGTTCATCGCCATCAAGAGGCTAAAGACAATGGAATGCTCTATTGGATAAGTTTTACAACTCCCCTAGCACAGACTACTGTGCAATATTCACAGCAATTGTGTATGTTTTCTCCTCTCCTTTGAATCCTGTTGGTCTTATACTGTAAATATTATAAGCCTAAAGGCAGAAATGGCCTTCCAGTATTCATGGACAGCAACTAGTAGATTTTACACACTAATAGAATGCATTTACTCATCTCATCTAAACACTCTTAAGCAAAGCCATCATCCTCTTACCCTCCGTCAAGCATGCATCAACCTCTGGCTGGTCCTTGTAGGGGTGGGGCGTTCGTTATTGTGAAAGACAACTGAAGGGAGGGCTGGTATTTTTGCACAATCCTACAGCCCCCCACATTATTTAAGTGGTTTCTCATAATTAGTGAGTGAGGGCATAGCTGTATAATTTTTACATACACCCAATCTTTAAACCTTATGTCAGGGTAAAAATATCTAAGATTGCCTAAGTCCCATTGACTTTCTGATCCCAATGACTTATGCACTTTCTAAAAAACCCAGACACAAGACCTTCAGAAAATGTTACACTCAGTTTAGGTTTGCTTTGAAAGAGAAATCAGCATGAAACTCACCAGATGCCTATTTTAACTTCAAGACACTCATATGCATATGCACCAACACACACTTCATACACGCACAACAGCACTCAGAGAATATAGCAGTTCATTGTGCTTTTTATCTTTTTCCTTGCCCACTAATCATATTTTAGAACATACTACAACTCAGATACTGAGTGCCACATGCAACATAGGCTTTAACACTGAATGAACATAGACAACCTTAAGCGCAGAACAAATGCACAGACACTAATTACAGTCCTTCCTCAAAACATTCTTGTGCCTTTAGGCTTCCTAAAAACATGAAGTATTTCTAGATTATTGCCTGCAGGCAGCCACACCAGGGCCCTGGTGAAGTTACAAGAGAAAAAGCTTCAAAAAGTAAGATTTGTTCTTAAAGTTCAGTACCATTTGGAACAAGAGGCCTTTCGTTTTTAAGACAGCTGCTAGAGGACTGAGGTTTTTTCTTTTGCTTCATTTAGCACTGTCCTAAGCTACAAAGAGAAAGGCATTTTGTTTGTTAAACTATCATTTTCCCAATGCTTTCAGAGATGAAGATTTTGTTTCAGAAAATTTGGGCTTTTAAAAACAGCCACATAAACCTACTTCATGCAAACAAACTAGGAGTGAACTCTTAAAAAGTATGCTTCATTTAGACTCAGCTCAGCTACAACTGGATGAAGATGTAAAACCAATACAACAGGCAATCTGTGCTTTCAAGGGGTAAAGAATGGGCAGGTGCAGGAAGTCCCTCTAGTTTCTAGTAAAGGTTAACAGCATGATAAGGGCAAGCTCACACTGCAGCTGCTTACATTATACCAGGCATTTATTCCCAACAGTGTTTTTCATTTCTAATGCTACCATTGGAGTCCCCCACTTGATAAAACCTCCTATGTTCAAACCAAACAAAAAAATACAATGCCTGTAAAAAGACTTGTACAGACTTGTATTTGTAGGGGTCCTTTAAAAGTGTGAAACTGATTATCAAACACCATTTTCCAAGTGGAAATTGGTAATAAATATTTGATAATAAAACCAAAAGTATAATAATTAAAGCTAAATTAGTAGAAATATATGAAGAGGAACTTGCATGTGTGGGGGCCCTCCCAATTTATTTTGTTTACAAAAGTTTTATGCTCTCTCAATCTACTCTTAAATTACATATTAATATTCAAACTACCTATGTGCACATGTTTACTTCAAATATAGCTTTACATTCATGTGGTTATGAAAATTCAAATGGGAGCAGCAGTCTAAAAATAGGATTGCTGGTGATATTTCTATAAATATTATGAATCACCAGACCATCAAGGAGCCCCAGTCATGGTCCAGGAGGCCACTGGGATAAGGCTATACAAATATGCAAGAAAAATATAACATCTGCCCCAGATAACTTATTGTTATTAGCCCACATACAGCTGAGCTAGCCAAGGCATACAATGCTCAGCAACAGAATGCAAAGCAATTAATCCGGCTTCCAATCTGGTTAAGGGTCAGTCCTCTACAAAGTGAATCTGAGTCTGCACCTATTCACATCTGCTGCTTGAATGGTTCTGCAAATCCCACATGCCTACTGATAGTGCACTGGCTTTGACCTGTGCCGAAATGATTCAGGAGGGTCAAGGGGCAACCCACCAGATCAAAACTGGATGCCGAACAGTAGGATTGACTGCACAAACCAAACATAAGGCAGAAAGGTGATGGACAGACAAAAAGATTCAAGGGAGCAATACTGGTCAGCAGGGTAGTAGCCTCCACACTTGAGCAAGCTCACCATCATCCAGCTATTTGTAGGAGAGAGTTTGAAAGAGGCATACAAAGGAGAGCAACAAGGTAAGTCTTATGAATGCTCTGTTTGCCTGAGAGTCATTGTGTTGTATGCTATGCTGCTATAAAGGGTTAATTTCAGCCACAGTTAACAGGACTTGCACAAGGAAGCAAAAATAGGTTCATTTATTGAAACTAAAGGAAAATATAGGTGCCACTTGTTTTGAAGTTTTTGCCCCCTACCCTGACAAATTCTGGTATGTCTGTCTTGTAGCCACAGGAATGGTGGACTGCAAGAAAAAACACAATTTTGAGGCAGACAAAAGGACAACCCCCAAAAGAACAAGGAATAGAGGGCATGGACTGACATACAGAAACATTGTAAGGAAAATGTGGCAGGCTAAATCTTACAATGTGGATGTGTGTATCAGCAAATCTGACAAATATTTTGTCCATCCACAGGTATGGCCTAAGCCACATTAAAT